CTATAACTTGAATGAAGCTTGACTTAAAGAATATTATGGTGGCGCAGGCCTTTGATCCTAGTATTCCAGAGGCAGAGGCAGCAGCCTAGCTTAAAAAGTGAGTTCCAGCGCAGTCAGGGCTACATAGAGAAACCCTGTCTAAGAAAAGAAAGAAAGAAAGAAAGGGGAGCGGAATGAAAAAAAAAGAAAAGAAAAAATATATTATATTAAGCTGAGCAGTGGTGGTGCAGACCTTTAATCACAGCACTCCAGAAGCAGAGGTAGATAGATCTCTGTGAGTTTGAGGTCAAGCTGGTCTACAGAGTGAGTTCCAGGACAGGCTCCAAGGCTACACAGAGAAACCAAACCCTGTCTCAAAAAGAAAAAGAAAAAAAAAGAATATTATGTTAAGTGCAATAAACTAGTCACATTCACATATAACAGCAGTACATAATTCCACAATACCCAAAGAAATGTAGCTATTTTAGCATACAAATGTAAACTACAATGCTTGCATAAGGACAAAATTGCCTAACAATACATTTCTCAAACATATCTCAGGGCTAAGCACTGAGCAGTGGGTAGATGCCACGTAACCTAGTAACCTAAATTTGACTCTTGGAGCCCACATAAAAGTGGAAGGAGATGACAAAGTTGTCCTCTGACTTCTACACATGCTCTGTGCCGTGTACACGAGTATACACATATGCACACAGACTAATAATAAATTAGGACCTTTCTGAGACACGGTCTTACTATAGTCCCGACTGGCCTGGAACATGTAGACCAGTCTGACCTCAAATTCTCAGAGATCTGTCTCCCTAAAGGGTTAAAGGTATGCACTCCCATGACTGATCATAAATGAGATTTTTTTACATTAAAAAACTCAATTGTTAGGCAACATATGACTAAGCTGTATGATATCAATTAAGACTCATAGTAAAAAATTCATAGAAATGGAAAGAATGATGGCTGCCAAGATGAAGGAATAGAGACTGATTATATAATAATGTGAATATACTTACTATCATTACCATTGAAAATGTCCACTTAGAAGTGGCTAATATAGGACTGCCTCATATATAGCTCAGTTAGTGTCTGCCTCACAGCCCTGGGTTTGATCCCCTCAGCACATAAACTGGAGATGGGGGTGTATATCTGTAATGTCAATACTCCTGAGGGAGAGACAGGAGGATCAGAAGTTCTAGGTCATCCTTAGCTATATAGCAAGTTGAAGAGCAGCCTGACTGCACAAGACCCTGCTTATAAACAAACACAAAACAAGTAAGAAACCAATGCCCCCCCAAAATAGAAAATCACTAATAAGTATTGTTGTATTTACCAAAAAGAAAAAAATCAAAAATATAGAAGGAAATTTTTCTTGATATGCTAAAAATTGCCATGGCAGAAATTGTATATTGAAGAACACTAAGACTAAGCTTTAAAATAACAAAACAAACCTCCACTTTTCAGATTCTGGTGGCTAGGGTGTAAGACTTGGTTGGGTCCCACCAAACAGCAGTAGTCCAGTGAGACTCTGGAACTGAATCACAAGAGAGAGCACGTGAAAAGACACCCGCACCACCCATGGGAACTGTGCAGAAGTAGGATGGTCCTCAGCCAGCTTCAGAACTGATGGTTTATTCATTTGATTGACAGATGCCTTTTTTTTTTTTTTTTTAATAGGGAAGGTCTTACTATGTAGCCCTAGCTAGCATGGAACTCAAAGAGATCTACCTGTATCTGCCTTGGGAGTGTTGGGATGAAAGGTGTGCACCACCACACCTGGTGTGTGTGTGTGTGTGTGTGTGTGTGTGTGTGTGTTAACTGCATGTATGTCTGTGCATCACCTGCAAGTAATACCCAAGGAGGCCAGAAGAAGGCAAAGGTTGCCCTGGGACTGGAGTTACAGATGGCTGTGAGCTGCCATGTGGGTGCTGGGAAGAGAAACTGGGTAAGATCAGACAGTGCTCTTAACTGCTCAGCCATTTCTCTAGCCCCCAGCAAGCACTCTTAACCACTGACCAACTTTCCAACCCTTCAGATGACTTTTTTGATTAAACAGCCGTCCATATCAGTGGATATGGATACATTACCAATCGGGGACAAAGCACAGCTGTTAAAGAGCTCTCTGAGTATTCTCGATTCTTGATCTCATTCCCCGCCCCCACCTTTATGTAATGTTTGGAGGCAGAGTCTAAGCATTGCTATAAAAATCATGACAAGGGTGGTGACAGGGAATCAGATGGTAAAGGCACTTGCCTCACAAGTCTGGTACCTGGTTTATCCCTGGAACCCATATAAAGGTGGAAGGAAAGAAATGATGCCACAAAGTTGTTCTTTTCACACACACACACAATAGTTAAAGAAAACTATTGTATTCCAGAAAAATCAGAGATTTTTATTTTTGAAAAAACAAATAAATAAACAAAACCCCCCAAAGCTATTGAAGCTGGGCATTTAGCTCATTTGGTGACATGCTTGCCTAGTATACATGAAGTCCTGGGTTCAATCCATAGCACTACTAAACAAAACTAAACTGACCACATGAACCCCATTTTTTTTTTACAAATCCACTTTTATTTATTTACTTTTCATTAATTTAAAACCTGTTTCCATGGGCCCGAGTTACTTTTCCCCAGATCACTCTGGTTTTGTTTGGTTTGTCCCCGGGTGTCACTGTGTTGATTTTTGCTTTATACACATAAGCACATCTCTTGCCCAAGTAGAATTCAGTTTCATCTCGGGCACAAACACCTTCAATTTTAAGAGGAGCTGTGTGCTCTCTCTGGTTCCAGACACCTCGCTTATAGCCAGCAAAAATGGTCTTGCACCACAACCTTCCAGACATATTTGCCTTTTAGAAGTCCTGTTCCCAGCAGGCCCCAGGAATCCATCCCCAAAGTTCAGCAACAGGAACTTCGCTCCTCCACTTATTTTTTTTAAAGGGATTTTCCCTTAATCTGGCAATAACCAGGTAAAAGTGTAATTTTAAAATCCCATCCCACTACATTCAGCATTTTATTAATTTTAAATATGCAGAGAGGTTTCAAAGAAGTGTTTAGTATTCCTCTAGCAATCAATTTCAGTAGAAAGAATTCTAAGTCTTCTTGATATCACACTTAGCTGTCAGTAAATTTGAATGACAAGGCTATATAGCTGAATCACATAAGTGGCTCAGTCATTAATAATGACTATACATCTGCATTTTGAAAGTCAAACTCCCTAACAATATCTGTATATGTGCATGGATGGTTTTGGGACAGTAGGAGCCAAAACATATCATTTATATCTGCTATTCTCAAAAATTGCATGATTATTGAAAATAACCATCTTCTGGTAAATTTTAAATGACTTGAAACAAAATAAAATAAAATTCCATCCTAGGGCCAGAAAGATGGCCCAGTGGATGAATAAGCCTGGCATCCTTAGAAATTCAAAAGGAATAAAATACAACTATGTTTATCAACAATGATCGCTGCTCCTCTGCTATACTACAGAAACTGCAAACCATTATTGAAAGACATGAAAATCGAGGCTATAACCTAGTGCTAGAGTACTTGCCTGAGGAAGATTAATGAGTAAATAACCTTTATGAATGGAAAGATAGTCTTTGTTAAGAAGGCCATTTGTGTGTGGTGACACATGCCTATCGGCAAACAAAATAAAACAGTCTCTGTAAAAAAAAAAAAAATGTTGAGACACTTTGGTGAAATCTGAACAAAGCTTCAGACTAGCTGATACTCTATCAATGTCAGCCTTTAGAATTTAAAATTTTTACTCTTTACATAAGTAAACTCAACCCTGGTATAACAACTGCAATCCCAGGAATTGGCAGGTGAAGGCAGGAGATCAAAAGTTCAGTGTCATTTTTAGCTGCATAGTCATTTTGAGGTAAACTGGCCTTCATGAGACACCCTATCCCCACCATACATATGGAAAATAATACGACAAAACTTCCGTCTCAACAGGCATAGTGACACACACACAAACTTTGTTACTTTAAAGAAAATTGGCTTTATGTTCTTTCATTCCCAGCTTAGAACTAGTTTGTAGTGTTCAATCAAAAAATGTGTTGGGGATTTGATTAAGTTGCATTAAGTTCTATACATTCAGTTTGAAGATCTATTACTATTTGAATCAAATGGAGATTTTGCCAAAAGTTTAGCTCTATAGAGATGCTGACAAACATAGCAAGTGCAAAGAACAGGCCTGTATGTCTTGATGATCCTTTGATCCCTTCATTTAATTCATTATTCACTAATTCATTAGTAACTTACCCTGCTTCCTACCACCCTTGCAAACCGGGAGGAGGGAGGGAAAGGCAAGGGAGCATAGTGTTAGCTGGCAGGCATTCGGTGCTCTTCCCAACCTGTGTTTTCCCCGGTGTGTTTTCAGAGGACACACTATTTGCAACAGTGGGATTGAAGGTAAGGGTTGAGAAACAAAGAATGAAGTAAGGAAGGCAGGTTGGATATACTTCACTGGGAGGCCATGCATTTTGTAACGGTTGAAGCTGCTATTCTTAATACCCGTGAGACCCCGAAATTCACGGGCAGGAATCCCGTATGGAGACTTAGGGCTGTAGACAAAAGATATCTGCGTTGGGGGTGGAAGGGGGTGGGGCGCAGGTCCTGTGAGAGTTCCTAGAGTACCAGGGGGTCTGGGGTGGAGGAAAAGGTACAGGTACTCCAGACACTCGGAACAGCACGTGCTCGCCTAAATCAGGGACGGGTGCGCGGGAGGCAAGAGGGAGAGACGCGTTTGAAGCGGCGAGTAGTTGGCGTGACTATGCTTATCGACGAGTACCAGGTTAAGGACTTCGGACTTCGTTCTGGGACACCAGTAGATACTCGTGAACAGAAACGTAGCTAGATCCCAAGCGGGCTTAAGGTTCCTGCGGCGGCGACGGAGGAAACCAGGCGGTCCTGTCCCGGCCTGCGGGGCCACCCTTCCGCCTGCAGGGAGCGCTGTCGGGGCCGGGCGTCCTCCCCGCCCCCTCCCTTGTTGCTGCAGGCCTGATGCGCTCGGAACTCGGCTTCTCTGCCTGGACTCTGCTGCCTTGGGAGGCGACTCGTGAGTCGAGCCGCACCCCCGTGCGTGCGTCACCTCCGCTCTGGCGGACAGGCCACTGGCACCGCCGAGTGGCGCCGAGGGAGCCTCTGCGCTTGCGCCGAGCAGAGCTCGGCGGACCTCTGCGCGAGAACGCACGCGTGTGAGCCTGGCGTAGCCGTCTGCCGCTAGGCGTTTACTTTTGTCCTAAGAGGTGCAGGCAGACAGTTGACAGAGGCTTGCTTCAGTCGCGCTGGCTTCGCCTCCGGCGACTCCTCTGGGAAGCAGTCTCCCTGGAGCCGTTTGTCCTCTGTCTGCAGCCACAACTTCACAGAGGTGGAAACCTGCTCGCCTCTGCACGTAAATCCTAGTCGAAGGGAGTCTTGGAGTTCAATTACCAGTCCTTTCATGATCTCTTGACATCTTGAAATGAGTGAATGTGGTTCTGCTTACACAATCTCAAAGATCACCTCTCCTGGAGCTCACGGTGTAGACCAGGCTGTCCTCAAACCCACACTGACTCACCTACCTCTGCTTGCCTCGTGCCGAGTGCGCCAGGCAGCTCCTTGTATTCCTACTTCGGGTTTCTTCTGTGCGACTTTGATGTCTTTAAAACAATGCTTCCTGCTGTGCACATACTAAATCGTGAGATATAATAATGAGCTCCATACAGAAAAGCGTTATCTTTTGACATTTACATTCTAGTGAGGGGAGATCAGGAAGAGCGGACGACAGAGTGAGGGCTAGGAAAGAGTGACATAGACACATGGTAGACTCTAATTACACTCATCACAAAAGGTTAAAAGTAGTCACGTGAACAGCTAGGTGCTCCAGATTGGGAAAAGCCATGCAAGCGGGAGCTTTGTTTTCTGGGAATTGACAAGGACAGTGTGACTAGAGTCTGATGAACTGTGATTGACAGTTGTGAGAAAATGTTAAGAATGTTCTAAGTAGGAGTCAGGTGCATAGCTTTGTGCAGAACTTTGAAGTATGTGTTCTTTAGTTTTCCAGATAGCCTTTCCTGTAGCGCTTGGTAGCCTGGAGCTCACGGTTTACCTGAGACTGTCCTTGTACCTCTGCCTCCCTCCCAAATGCTGGGATCGGAGGCTTGTGCCACGGCTCTCGCCTTGAATTGTATTTTAATAGTAACGAGAAGCCAAGATACAGTTTTCTATAGAGAGCCAATTTGGTTCAGTCACTTTGGACCACACAAACCAGTCGCTGAAAATAACGTGTTTGTTGGTCTCTGAAACTCCTTTTCCCTCCTTCCCAAGCTGCAGTTCCACTGCCTCTCTCTTTAAAAATTTATTTTGTATGTGGTGCACCTGCCACTGAGCATGTATGAAGGTCAAAAGACAACTTTTAGCAGTTAGTTTTTCTCTTTCTACTGTATGGGTCCCTGAGACAGAACTCTCAGGTCTCAGGCTTGGTGGTAATGCCCTTTATTGGCTAGGTCATTTTACCAGCAGATCTGCTCTACTGTAACTCAGATGGTTTACAGATGGACTCCAAAATGTCATCTTGAACACGTTCAAAGTATGGGGGGTGAAAAATATATTCTGTGTGTATATTATAAAGGGGAAGATGTGACGACTTCATCCAGATTCTAGGAGATCGTCTAAAGATTAAGAACACTGGTTTCAAACATGTTTCATCTGTGAGATCTTGTTTATTGTACTCCAAAACAGCAGGACATAATGTCAGTTTGAGCCCAGGCTGGTTCTTCGAACTGTCTTCTCAACTATGAAATTAAAACTCTGAGAACTAAAACACTTTACTCGGAAAGCGTTCAATGATAAAGCATAACGTGCCACAGTGTTGCACAATGCCACTGTCACAAACATCTGCATCCCTGGGATGGAAGGACAATTTGTAGATACTGCTTCTACAGCGTTCCGGGATCTTCATGTCTCTATTCTGGGTCGTGTGCCAGAAGAAAAAATAAACCATTCCTTTCAGAAGCTAATTATCCAACTGAAGCCGTGAAAGATACAAAGCAGGGTGGACTAAGCCCGTAAATGTGGCCTGTGGGTTTGAGTAGACGCGATCAATGACTACTACACATACACGTTTTCATGTTATGGAAAGGACGAGGGAAACAGGACGACCTCTCCTCCCACCGGACAAATACTGAGCAGAGGTTTTTGTGAGACGGAACCTATCTTTTGTGCTATCTGTTTGGTATACAGTGCATGCTCAGGGCACTCCTTATCTTCATGCTGGGAACAAAGTACACACACCCCTTTCTGAGACCCAGGGTCTTAGGACCTCCTGGAGCGGCAGGGGCC